GAAAATGAATTGGATCAGTTTTCACTAACTTGTTCTGTTGGTGATTGTGGCATTTCAGCATTACCACCAGGAAAATAATAGGCTCCTTTCACAATGGTAGAAGTTTAACAAATGCTCCATCACTCCGCCAACATCATCGCTGTCATTGGTTTGAGCGCCATGCATGATATTGATGCCCGGCTTCTTTTCAGACCCAATCTGCCAGCAATGGACCACTAACCATTTCAATTTGCTACCTGTAGAACTGAATCACCAGGCTTGGGCTGAAATGAGAGAGAAATGGATTTAGTGAAACTCAGAATAGAGGAAGTTTCATGAATTTTTGTGTAAGCATGCACATACTGAAACCCGTTATAAGATGCACACAATCACTTTTGGAATATCTCATGAAGGGACATGATATTAAGCAATTCTTGGGTGTTTACAGGGAAAATAGACTCTAGTGGATACTGATAAGACCCCCTATGTTTTGAGGAACTCAAATGGGGTACCTTTATAAAAACCCTTGAACACTTCTAAAACTATGCTTGACCCTTGAGATACTCATCTAGCAAAGAACAGGATAAAGGTAAATTATTTCCAGCCCCACCCTTGAATTTCCATGGGAGAAAGATGAGGCTTTTGGCTCTCGTAAAGATTTACAGCCTCAGAAACCCTGCACAGGGTCGCTATGAGTCGGAACCAACTCCACAGCACATAACAACAACAACAACCCTCGAATTTAGTGTTGTCCTACCAGCACCAGTTGTCATCAGTCATACAACTCCATGTGTGTCAGAGGAGAACTGAGCTCCCAAGGGTTTTCAGTGGGTGGATTCTGACTCATGAGAACTCTTTGTGTGTCAGAGTAGAATGTATTCCATAGGGTTTTAAATGAAAGGCTGATTTTTTGCAAGAAGATCACCAGGCATTTCTTCCAAGCCACCTCTGGAAAATCTTGAGCCACCAACCTTTTTGATTATTTGCCACATGTGTTCATTTGGACCACCCAGAGACTCCTGTCTTGTCCTAGCAGGCAAGGCTTGTTGGGTGAGAGGGCTCATTCTTTCGGGGTTACATTCCCTGGCTGCTGCTCAGAGTTCTTGACTGGCCCATGTTGTTGTTGCTAAGTGCCTTTAAGTTGGTTCTGACTCATAGAAACCCTGTATAGGGTTTGCGAGTAGCAACTGGTGTGTTTGAACCACACACCTTGAAATTAGCAGACCAGTGTTTTTCCCACAGTGCCACATCAGGCTTGAGTGCTCACTGTTTTACCCTACTCCCTGTTTTCTGATTTGTGTAGGCTCGTTTGGGATTTGCCCCTTTCTTTCTGATTTAAAGCCATTACTGGCATGATATATCCATGCACACATGCTTCCCCTCCCCACCCCCCACCCTCCCCATGCTTCTCAGTCATGTGCTATCTCCTGGATGCAAACCAGTCATTTGTGGTACAGTGACTGTGTGTAATCCTTTCTGCATTGTTCAATAGTTTGGTATATAGAATCCGTCAATAGAGCAAGTTGACTCTTGAATTTTTTTCTGCAGTTCTTTCATCTTGAGAAATGCTGAGAGTGTTCTTCCCTCTTGGTTTTCTACCTCCAGGTCTTTGCAGATTTCATTTTAATACTCCACTTTGGCTTCTTGAGGTACACTTTTACTTGGTCATTTCTTCTGTTTGCTTTTAGCTACTCTGTGTTCAAGATCAAGTTTCAGAATCTTTTGCAGCATCCATTTTGGTCTTTTCTTTCCTGCCCTTTTAATGACCTTTTATTTTTTTCATGTTTGGTGACCTTGATGTCATTCCACAACTTATCTGTGGTCATTAGTTTTCAGTGCATCAGTCAACTTTTGAGATGATCTCAAAATTCAGGTGGGATGGAGGTCTGGTGGTGGTGCTGCGGTTTAATACGCTGAACTGCATTCCGTCCTAAGTAACCTAGGAGTCTACAAGGTCAATGGTTCAAACTCAATAGCTGCTCCTTGGAAACCCTATACAGCATCTCTATGAGTTGGAACTGACTCCACAGCACTTAACAACAACATACTCAAAGTTGTACTTCGGCTACTGTAAACTTAATTTTCTCCAGCTTCAACTTGAACTTGCAAAGGAGCCATTGATGGTTGGTTCTGCGTTCGGTCTCTGGCCTTGTTCTGATGGACGATACTGAGTTCCACCATTGTGTCTCTCCACAGGTGCAGTCAATTTGATAACTTTGTTTTCCATTTGGTGACATCCATGTATGGTGCTGTGGGTTAATGCACTGGACTGTAAAGGTGGTTTGAACTGCAAGGTCAGTGGTTCAAGCTCACCAGTCGCTCCTTAGAAACATATACAGTGTAGCTCTGGGTCTGAACCGACTCAATGGCACTTAACAACAACAGTGTGTATGTTGTCAAGTACCGTTGCGTCAGTTCCAACTTGTAGCAACTCTGTATAGGGTTTCCTAGGATTTGAACCACTGACCTGGAGGTTAGCAATCCAATGTTAATCTTATAGTGCCACACCAGGTGTCTACATGTAAAGTCATCATTTTTGTTTTTTAAAAAATATTTCTAATAAATAGGTTGTTGGTCTTACAAAATGTCATCATGATCTCTCTGCTGTCATTCCCTTCATCACCTTCTGGTCAGTTTACCCATAGATCCTCCATGTACCTAATGAGTAGGTGCAGTATGGCCTTGTGAAGAGTGAAATACATTCACACACATGGACACACAGCCAGCAGATAACACGTGAAATGCCTGTTGTATCCAGGGCACACACACAGGGCCTGGTGAAGGATCTAAATTCAGAGAGCTCCTTCCCTGCCCTTGGGAATCTTACAGTGCCGCTGATTCCGAATACATATTTTAGGGAAAATGTTGTAAGATGATATATCATAGACACCAAAGTTGTACTGTAGTTCAGAGGCCAAAAGACCGTCCTTCAATGAGGGGAGCTGGGAGTCCCATATGGAGGTTCATGCCCAAAGGCACTGCTGTGATTGGCCTCTGAGGTGGCGGTTGGCACTTCCGGTAGATTCCATCTAGGTCTTTCTGAAGTTCCCATTACAGGAAAAGGTGTAAATGGGGAAGGGAGACTTTACAAGACTGAGCCAGCCAGGGAGAAGAAGGCTTGTTGTTGTTGGTTGTCATCAAGAGGATTCCAACTCCTGGTGTCCCGGTGTGTACACAGTAGAACTGCTCCATCGGAGAATGAGGTTGTTTCCTTTCAGCAGTAGATTGCCAAGCCTTACTTCCAAGGTGCCTCGGGGTGAGTTTAAAAGGCCAACTCTCTGGCTAATAACCTCGTGCTTAACTGTTCACACCACACAGAGACATCTGCTCTCTGTCATCACACAGAGAGGCATGCTGGAGTGTGAGTTGTATCGCCTGTAGTACACACGACAGGAAGGGGACAGTAACCTGTCACGGGGGTTACCTGGCTGCTTGTTGTTGTGAAGTGCTGTCGAGTCAGTTCCGACTCATAGCGACCTTGTGTAAGGTTTCCTGTGCAGCAGCATGTGGGTTTGAACCACTGACCTTGTAGGCTCCTGGTTTGCTTAGGACCAAATTCGATTCGGGATCCAGCTGCCTACAAGAGATGTTTGAGAATATCAGCTGCCAGGTGTCTGAACACCTGAAACCATAGAAAGGCACTTTCCCTTCTGAGGGGATGTTGCTGTTGTTGTTGTTATGTGCCATGGAGTCGGTTCCAACTCATAGCGACCCTGTGCAGGGTTTCCGAGGCTGTAAATCTTTATGGGAGCAGAAAGCCTCATCTTTCTCCTGCAGAACAGCTGGTAGTTTCCAACTGCTGACCATGAGATTAGTAACCACTACGTTACCAGAGATGGAGTTGCCAGAATTGTAGAAGTCTGCATGGGGGGTTAGGGGGTGGTCCCTTCTTGCAGAAAGGTAAGCACCTGCTCCAGCTAGGCTGTTTCCAGGCAGCACTGGGCCCACCCTCTGCTAGTCTCCTAGTCATGCGCGTTGCATTACATTCCTGCTTCCTCACCAACTGGCTTTGTGATCTCAGGCCCTTGCTCTCTCTTTGTCTCAATATTCTGAAGTGTCAGAATGAGATGATGGTAGTTCATTCTTCCTAAGGTTGTAGTGAGGATTCAGTGAAATTTGCATTTCTTTATGGGGTAAGTGTTGAGTGGACATTAACTGATAAAGGAAAGAGAAGGGATAGCTAGAACTTTGGGGGCAAGCCCATGCAGTGGAGGGGGGTCATTCTGTCTTGCCTTGAGAGATGATGGCTCACTCTGGGAGCTTAGGACTGGGTCTACGGAGAGCCCTAAATGCAAAACTGAAGAGTCATCTTGCAGGCATTTTGGAACCACTCAGATTGTCTTGTCAAGTCAAGACATGTTGTGGTATTTTTGGAATTGTGCTCCTGTGAATTCCAGGTGGATCAAAGGGTGAAGGAACTGAACACAGCCTGACCGTTTGGACAGAAGTCATTTATTTTCCAGAAAGCTGTGGGTTTGAGTTATTTGAACTTTGACCTCCATTTAGTCCTTCATTCCTTCCGATCCAATGCTTATTACATTGCGGCCACAGGCTTTGGTCTGTCTGTCACTGTTCATTGTGTGTACTGTTGGAGGGTTAGCACTGTAAAAACAAAGAGTTTTAAAAGGTCATAAAATTAGCTTTAATGAAACATGGTGGCAAATAAAACAGTCAACAGTGGAAACTGTATGGAACTGCCCTGTTTTTCTGGGCGCCGTCTTACTATTAATATTGTTTTAGTTTTTTTAAAAAAGTGAATTTTTTTCTTTTCTGACACCTCTGAAACCTTACATGTTTCGGCTTTTGAAGGTTTTACTGTAAAATAATATAAAAATCTTACTCTCCAAAGAATTTGCTTTAAAGTAGATTTTAATGATATCTTCTCACGAAATTGAATTGGGAGAAACTTCGAAGCAACACAGTACCTTTTCAAGGAGCATAATTATGCTTTATTGTAGTAAGCCAAAGTTTTATAGAAGTTTTCAGTGTCTTCTTCATCTCTCTAGGAAAGTGTTTCATAGAAACGAGCCCCTCTCCACGAAGTAGGGATGAATGAATGAATGGGTGGCTTGAGTGCAGTTCAGAATTGCTATCGCCACTTATTCCATGGGATTGTGATTGATTATAATTTAGGATGGTTGCCCCTACCATCGTTAACTACTGGCCCGTGGCCCTCTTAAGGGAAGGACCCTGTCTCTGTTCCCCAATGCCTAACTCAGGGCACACCTTAGCCTCTCATAATTTTTTAAATACATGGTATACTTCCGAAATAACATCAGTAAGTACAGAAAGATCCCTGGTGGCACAGTGCGTTAAGTGTTGGGCTGCTACCCAAAAGGTTGACAGTTTGGGGGGAGACAGATGAAGCAGTCTACTTCCATTAAGATTACCTGCCTTAGAAACCCTAGGGACCTGCTCGACTCCATCGTAGAGCTTCCGCTGGGGGTTGGAATCAACTCAATAGCAACAGATTTTGTTTTGTGTTTTAGTTTAGACCTTTATACTAAACGAGACGGACTGGCACAGTGGTAGTAGCATCAGTGGGCTGAGACGTAGCCGTGATTGTGAGGTTGGCGCAGGACCAGGCAGTGCTTCGTTTTATTGTGCACAGGGTCGCTATGAGTCAGTACCAACTCGATGGCACCTAACAACAACAACAACAACAACACCATAGACCTTATCAAAGGAGTCTTGGTGGTGCAGCATTTAAGCTCTCAGCTGCTAACTGAAATATTGACAGTTTTAACTCACCAGCTGCTCCGCAGGACAAAGAGGGTGACAGTTTACTTCCATTAAGATTCACAGCTTTGGAAACCCTGTGGGGCCATTCTCCTCAACAGCAGTGGGTTCACAGCTCAGGAAAAGACAATGCTCTAGTCGAGAGGCCTGAGGCCACTCACTGCAGATTATCACGTCTGATTATCGTGTTGTGTCTTCATTTCCGTAAAAATGCGAGTGGCACCTGTGTTGCCAGGAGAGACTAGGCTGCGACTTAACACAGAAATACTGTAGTTAGGTAACTGTATGTGCGGTGCTGAACTGGAGGGTGATGTTGTTCCATGGGCGTTACCTCCGAACCATCCAGCTGTGAGACTGAAAGGAACAGGCCCCCTCATGCCAAGTAGCCATGATGACCACCACGATGGGATCTTATTTGTGAGATACTTTATTTTCTTATTCATGTTAAAACAAATGAAGTTGTTATTGGTTGGGGTCTCCCAAGTCATAAAGCTAGAACTTTCTGACAGTGTGGTAGAATTTGCACCCCCTACACAGTTCTAATTCAAGTATAAAGAGGAAAAGAACTTTTAAAAGAAAAAGTTGTAATATTTTTTTCTTTTTCTTTTTTGACTTCTTATTGTGAATTAGGAGCCCTGGTGTGACACTGTGCGTTAATGCGCTGGACTGCAAAGTCTGTTTGAACCTCAAGGTCGGTAGTTCAAGCTTACCCGCTGCTCTTTGGAAACCCTATACAGGGTCGCTAGGGGTCGGAACTGACTCAACATTACCTAACAACAACATTGTGAATTGGGTGAAGGTTTACAAACTTGTTGTTGTTGTTAGGTGCGTCAAGTAGGACTGATGGTCAACTCTGGAGTCCTGGTGAGCAGCACTATGCCAGGACTCCATAATAGATATCAGTTTTACATCCAGCAGTTCGTGCACATTGTTCCCCCTCTAGTTGACTACAGTTCCCTAATGCGGCACCGCTTCCTCCCTGGGGTTTCTGTTTCCTTCCATCCCTCTCCCTTTTCCAACCCTCCTGCATTTTGTCCTTAGGTCGGTACTGCCCTTTGGATCTCAGTTGCTTGATCCTTCTAAGGTGTGCATACCTCCCTAGTTTTAGTGCTCCCCCCTTAGACCTATTTATTGTTTGGCTAAGAATTGAGCCTCAGGAGTGAGTTCATTCCAGGCATGAAGTATGATCCAGGACCGTAGTCTTGGAGGCTCTAGTAGTCTCTCTCCCACCAGTAAGCCTGATTTCTTCCATGATTTTAGGTAGCTGGGCTTCATCTAGGCCTTCTAGTCTCAGAGTTTGAAGACTAATGTTCACATGGTCCGTTAGACTATTGGGTGGATTATTTCCATGTATTACCGATTTTCATCACTCTTCTCTCATCCAGACACCAAGACTTACACGTTAGATGGCTGCTTATCATTGTTAAGACCACATGTGTTTGTGTTACATATCTTGTTGATGGATACTTGTGGTAGCCCAGCTGTTGGGTGAGCAGTCGTATTGCCACGGTAGATGAGTGGAGACCACTTGCAGACGTAGGAAATGAGCATTCCCCACAGGCATGGAGAGCTGGAGATTGTGGCTTGACTTCCGTGTTCTCTGATGAATACTTTTGGCAAGAACGATAGATTGTTATTAATGGCTGAGATTTATCTGATAATTTTAAGAATAAATTCTCTAGGGCTAAAACAGAACTTCTTAGCATTAAATAGGAGGTTTACCTTCAGTTTTCCTGAAGTCTGTGTGTAGCTAACAGTGGTCTTTCATGGCATTCTTGCTCTGTTCCTCTTGGTTCTCGTGGTCTTGCTCTAGCATTTACTACTTGTATCCAATTAAGGGGGAAATGGAGAACTTGAATTTCAGAGCACTCATCTTTCCTATCACAAAATTAATGGTTTGGCCTTGGTTTGGGGTAAAGATGGGAAAAACGTAAAGCTTTATTTCCATGTTTTCATTATGATTAAGAAAAACACCCTCATTTTGCACATTTATCAGCAATGACATCACCTTGTGGTGTGCTATTTTCCATACTCCTAGGAGCTTATTATAAAGAAAAATACTTTGAAACATCACCAAGCTGACTGTTTTTGAGTGCTGCCTGTGTGGGTGTTCATATATGATCCTCTGGAGAAAGAACCAGAAATCACAGCTGATCATTGGAACTATTAATAATAAGAAGCTACAGAGTCTGTTTTAATTGGGAAGCTGTGTGATATGGTAGAAAGAATGATAAATTTGGAAGTGAAGAGGTCTTGTTCCTATTCCTAATATTTTTACTTAGCCATATTGGAGACCACATTTTACCATTGTTAGATAAAGAGTCTTGTAAGTTTTAGAGAAAGACAAAATCCAAAACCAAACCTACTGCAGTCAAGTCCATTCTGACTCCTAGGACTGTGTAGAACTACCTTGTAGGCTTTCCAAGACTGTAAATTTTCACTAAAGCAGACGGCCTCATCGCTCTCCTGAGGCACAGCTGGTGGATTTGAACCGCGTTGGTTTGGTTAGCAGCCCGGTGCTTCACCCACTGCAACACTAGGGTGCCTTTCGAGAAAGACAAGTGCAGGTATGATATGATGCTTGCTGCCAAGATGGAGTAAGGTTCTGGACCTTTGTGGTCCATCAGAGCCCCAGGTCTTCTTTCGAACCTCCCAGGAAGTTAAGGTTCTCTTTGCACCCCCCCCCCACAGGGTGGGGGTGGGGGGACAGATTTGTAGGAAGGAACTTGCTGGGAGACGGTTCTCTGTGCATCTTGTGAAAAGAGGCACTGGGACCCTTTTGTTGTGGGCCAGCTAGTCAAGGAGTAGCCTTGTAAGGCAGTAGTCCAGGGCTGGTTTGTTTGCTCTTTGGCGTCAAGACCAGTACTTCTCCCTCCAGGACAAAGGTTGGGTAGGTTTGTTTGCAGCCTGTCACGAAAGGCTTGGGTTTCCTGACAGTTATCACTGCCCTTCATTCATTAGTTCAGTTTCTGGAATTGGGACTCAGAACCAGTGCAAGAAATTGATATTCTGGCTACTCCTGTTGCTGAGAACAACACACTGTCCTTTGTCTTTGATTTAGGAATATCGTTTCTTCTGCTAGCAGCCATGAGCCTGGAAGACTCCCTTAAAGGACAATAAAATCTTCATAATTCCTGACAGAGTTGAGACTGAACATACAGATTTTAAAGTAAAGAAATCAAAGGGAGATATTCAGTGGCAACTGCATATATGTGCTGGCCCATTAGGGACCGTCAGAAGTAAAGCTAGGCAGTTTGATTGGCTGTGTTTCTCCCAGAGTAGAGGGCAGGTTTGTTTCTCATTGCTTGCTACTTCAGTCTTCTCTCCTATCTCATTTAGAACTTGGAAGTCTCTAGATGATTCTGTCATTTTAAGGACATGTTGGAAATCTATCAACAGTGGACTTCAATGTGCAGAGTTTAAGACTTAAAACTTCAGAGAAACCCAGTTTTCTCCTGCCACACGTACTCACCTATTTGACCTGGATTCATTAAATTCCTGTTGCCTTGAATTTCATCTAGGGTTCCGGAGAAAATCAGAGAATAATGCTAACTTCTTCCTCCCTATAGAACAACTCAAGATTCTGCAGACTGGGAATGTTGAGGATGAAATGCATCCTTCCCGAAGTGGGAGGGACCCTGTTGTATTCTGCTTTGGTCAGTAACATGTTTCTATCTGTGGCATTGTTGAAACCTTAGGTTTTTATAATACAGCTGCGACAGGAGGCAGGGTAATAGTGGTTAAGCACTTCAGCTGGAATTCTAGGCCTTTTAAAGGCCATCACGAAAGGGAAAATAATCCATTAATTTTTACTGGAGTGTTCATTTAAGTGTCTTCTGTGAAAATCAATGTAAAATTTCACTGCCTTTCAAAATGCAAAGTGGTATATAATATCACTATTCCAAACCGCCCTAAATTGTTGCATTTTGAAACAAGCAGCCTTTGAGTTATGGCCTTTCCACATAAATTCCCTTTCTCAGATTGGATTATTGCTATATGGATGCAGTAGCAGGAAAAATAAATTTGTCAGCCAGAATTCTCCTCCTGCCTTCATTATTTAAACTGCTCTTAACCTCTTCCTATAGGTCAGCAATTGTCTTGCAGGTCTGCTTTTATTCATATCCCTCAGAGAATAAAAAAAAAAAAAAGTTCTTTCTTTAGGGGAATTATTTATAAGGCAAATATTATGCCTCCATTTACATTAATAATCATAAATTATTTACTTGTTTCCGAATTCATACCTCCCTGATTTACAGATGAAAGCTCTCAGTTGAGGGAAGCTCTTTGTGCCGCTCATCTGTGG